AGATGTAGTACAGTAAAGAGTACAATATGTACCTCTGAGATGTAGTAGTGAAAGAAGTACTAAGTAGCAGAACATGGAAATACTCTCAAGTAAAGTATGTCGAAGTACTTTTGTAGTTTAATTCCACCGCTGAGTAAAAGTACTAAAAGCAAAGTATTAGAGGAAGAAACATACAAAATACACATACGGTGTAAGAGTACAACAACAAAGTACACTCGGGACAAAGAATGTAAAAATATGCTGGTGAATATATTTGTGTAATTATGGTCATAAATCCCAGAGTGTTACTTATTCTCCTTCAGTTAATTGTTGATACATTAAATTGAATAAATGACTGTTGTGTGTTTCTCTGCTCTTTGTTTTGTCTTCTGTGCTGACAGACAATCAAACGTGACCTCGTCACCTCGTATCAGATCAGTCTGTGAATCATTACAGTAAACGCAAAGTGTCATTTCTGTGCCTCCGTGAGCTGACACGACCCGGACCAGTGGGTCGAGGGTTCAAATCCCCCGAGAGAGGAACTGGATCTGATCACAGTACACGTTAAAACGTTGTATTATTGATATAGAGAGACGGATACTTTATTAATGTTAAAGGGGAATTATTTTCACTACAGCATCATTTATAGATGCAGGTAAAGCAATAAAAATAGCAAAGTAAAAAATATTAAATATAAAAATGCACAATATATACAATAAAATATAATAATATTAAATGAACTAAGTAAATAATAGTGCACCTTTTTCATGAGTGATCTGACAACAAAGCAAAGTGCTCGTCTCATTGAATAAAGTATGAAAAGAAACAAAATTATCCTTTTTTTTCAACAAACTCAAAATAACAAATTAATCACTATTTCTTCTTCTTCATACAAATAAATAGAAATTCCTAATAATCATAAATCCATGTCTGAATAAACCTGAAGTTATATAATTATGCACTTTCATATATTTAATTAATAGAAAATATTCCAGGTCTCCTTCTCAAAGGAGATCCGTATCTCTTTTATTTCTTGCAGCATTATTTTCATACTTTAAACCCACAAATCATGACGGAGGAGGAGTCAGAGGATCAACACAGTTACTACATTTAATCCACATTTCATCACAGTCCAGCCAATCGCTGCAGAGATGCTTCAGTCTGGACTAAACATCGACGACTCTCTATTGAACTCATTCTATTTATGTTTCCCTCCCTCAGCTCTCGGCTTGTGTGTCTCTGGTCGTAGAAGTCTGTCTCGGCTGGCCGAGCTACCGGAGACTCACCAGCTCCTGAGACAGACCTGCAGAGACTTCGCCGACCGAGAACTGACCCCCATCGCTGGCAAGCTGGACAAAGAGCACGCTTACCCTGCTAAACAGGTACACACACACACACACACACGCATGCACGCACACACACACAGAGCTGCACACTTTAATAGTGACTTATGAGTTGAAGAACCAATGAGATAGTTGCCCATGTTCTGACAAGTGAAGTCAAAGCTTCATGTGTTAAAGCTGCATTCTCTCTAGTGTCCAGCAGGGGGCGACTCCTCTGGTTGTATAGAAGTCTATGAGAAAAGGACTCTACTTCTCTCTTGATTTATTACCTCAGTAAACATTGTAAACATGAGTTTATGGTCTCAATCTCTAGTTTCAAGTCTTCTTCAATACAGCATGATGTTCATTTAGTACATTATGGTCCATTTAGAGTCACACAGACCATAAAGCAGGGGATGCTTTAGGGCGGGGCTACACGGTGATTGACAGGTCTCTACCAGAGACGTATATGGCGTCTTTACGTCACTCCTCCTCAGTCCAGTTATGGTCACTTCCTGTTCACTGGTTGATAAAATACAACATGGCGACCTCAAGGTTATTTTTAACACATCTTCCAGTCTTTCATAAATGTTTTTTTCAGTTAACTGGCTAATTTATGTTTCGCATGTAAACAGCCAACATCTCAATCTTTGTGCATCATCCATATTTACTTCATCTATTTTAATCTAACTGAACAAATATATAATGAATATGTTTATTATTATAATAACAAAATGAATAAGGGGCGTGTTTTATTCTTCAAACTGTTGTTTTTGTCAATTTTATTTTAAAAATGTCGGGCTTATTTCCTGTGAATAAAGCCATGAACCAATCATTTTTAAGCCATTATTTAGGGTTTTTTTCGTGTTTATTTATGTTCTTAATGTGTTTAGATCCAGCAGCTGGGAGCGATGGGCGTGATGGCCATCGAGGTCCCAGAGGAGCTGGGAGGAGCTGGGATGGACTACCTGGCCTACAGCCTGGCTATGGAGGAGATCAGCAGAGGCTGTGCCAGCACGGGGGTGGTGGTGTCTGTTAATAATGTGAGTGGGTCTAGCAGAACCAGAACCTGTGAGGGGTCATTATTATTATTATTATTATTATTATTATTATTATTATTATTATTATTATTATTACTAAGCTGTGGTTCTGCTCTCAGTCTCTCTACATCGGACCGATACTGAAGAATGGCACAGAAGAGCAGAAGAAGAAGTGGATCACACCGTTCACCACCGGAGAGAAAGTGGGCTGCTTCTGTCTCAGTGAGCCAGGTGAACATCTCTCTCACACACACGCACACACACACACACACAGACACACTCTCTCTGTCTCAGTGTTATGATCATAAAACAAATGGTCCAAATGATGAAGCTAACGTCAAAATGTGGATCTTTCCCCCGTATATGAAGCACGATACCCGTCCCTACACCTGTGTGACTTGTGATTTATGACTTTTAATCTCCAGGTAACGGCAGCGATGCGGGCGCTGCCTCCACGGTGGCCCGTCAGGACGGAGACGAGTGGGTTCTGAACGGAACCAAAGCCTGGATCACCAACAGCTGGGATGCCTCGGCTGCCATTGTGTTCGCCACCACGGACAAGAAGCTCAAGCACAAGGCACGGCGCAGCACTTTAACCTTGAGAGATGAGGAGTGGGTTTGTTTCTATTGACTGCTTCTCGTCTGCAGGGCATCAGTGCCTTCCTGATCCCGATGCCTCACCCGGGACTCTCTCTGGGGAAGAAGGAGGACAAGCTGGGCATCAGAGCCTCGTCCACCGCCAACGTCATCCTGGAGGACTGCAGGATCCCGCTGGGCAACATGCTGGGACCGCGAGGGGCCGGGTTCAAGATCGCCATGGTGCTTCTTAAGAAAGACTCGGTGTCGTTATATTTCAAAATCAGAGCTGAATGCAACTAAAAAATGTCTCATGAAAGTAGCACAGGATGCAGCGCAGCTTCCTGAATATCAACATTCTAGAGTTTCAGGAAATAAAACAGTTCCTTCATTAGAAAACACGTCCGTAAACCAGATGTCATTTCTGTCGTTAAAGGACTGAAATGTGACCACAAACACTCATCTGTTAGCGATTGCGTAATATTTCTCTACCTCGTTGTCGTTCCACCATTTTCTCTTCTGCTCCAGAAAGTCTTTAGAGTCCTTTCAGTGTTTCACCGTAGACTTCTATTATCTTCACCAGGAACTTACAAAACGTCTTCATTCACAACAGTTGTCTTAGAGTTCCCTCACTAGGACCAACTCTCTTTTTTTGTATGAGGAAGCTTTATGAACACAACCAAAGGTCTCTAGATTAAAAGTCTTGATACAACAGAATTTATTATTTTCATGTTTCAATGACTGCAGGATATTTAAAAAAAGTTACTTTTATGGGGACATTTTTGTCCTGAGGGTTCTGTATTTTATATTATAGCCTTATTGTAAGAGCTGAGGATCAACAGGCTCCAAAGAGTTAACGAGGGTTAAAGTACGTTTGGATTCTGTGGCCTCTAGAAGATCAAACAAATCAGTTTGTTCAGCTAAAAAAACAAAAAAAAACCGTCTCCTCTCTGCACTGTCAGCCCTCCAACACACACACAACAATGAAAAAGTACTGACTTGCTGCATGAATATACAGTATGTTTATTTTACTGTAAGTTTTTTTTTTTTTTTTTTTTTTTTTTTTTTTTTTTTTTTTTTGTCCCTCAGCAAACCCTGGACAGCGGGCGTATCGGCGTGGCGGCTCAGGCCCTCGGCATCGCTCAGGCTTCTCTGGATTGCGCCGCGGAGTACGCTCACAAACGCACCGCGTTCGGAGCGCCGATCGGCAAACTACAGGCAATACAGGTAACTCTTTAAACTACGGGCCGTACAGGCGACTCTTTAAACTACAGGTAACTCTTTAAACTACAGGTAACTCTTTAAACTACAGGTAACTCTTTAAACTACAGGTAACTCTTTAAACTACGGGCCGTACAGGCGACTCTTTAAACTACAGGCGACTCTTTAAACTACAGGTAACTTTTTAAACTACGGGCCGTACAGGCGACTCTTTAAACTACAGGTAACTCTTTAAACTACAGGTAACTCTTTAAACTACAGGTAACTCTTTAAACTACGGGACGCACAGTATTAGGCTACTACTATGTTTAAACTACTATACTTCTTCTCCTTCACCTTCATCTCCTTCACCTCCTCTTCTTCCTCGTCCTCCTATAGCAAATATAAGTACGGGAAAACACAGCGATGTTTGTTTTCCAGTCAGTTGCATTGTGGGAGTTGTAGGATCCAGTATTTTTGGAACTTAAGTCCGAACATCTTGACTTGTCTTTGTGTTTTCTGAGTCTCCTGATGCTGAACCTCTGACGTTTAATAGATCTCAGGATCTAATCAAAGATGCCCGTCACAGTTTTCATCTGAAACGCAAAGATCTACAGTTTTGTTTCAATGTCTTTGCTTCATAAATGACTTTTGATGAATTGTCTAATCGTTGAAACACTAATAACGTATTTTTAGTTCAAACTGGCCGACATGGCCGTGGCCGTAGAGAGCGCTCGTCTGCTTATCTGGAAGGCTTCACTTCTCCGAGATTCAGGGAAACCGTTCACAAAGGTACGCTCCACTTCTCTTAACCAGTTTTAACGAGTGAAACGTCACGTTTTTTACCGCCCTGTGTTTTTGTCTGCAGGAAGCAGCCATGGCCAAACTAGCAGCGTCTGAAACCGCCACTTTCTGCTCCCATCAGGTAACAACAACAGACCGTGAGCTCTCATCGTAAAAGCCTCCAGGGAAACCTTTAAGTCTTATGTTTGTACTTTTTAAAAGGCGATCCAGGTTCTGGGGGGGATGGGTTACGTGGCCGACATGCCGGCCGAGAGGCACTACCGCGACGCTCGCATCACGGAGATCTACGAGGGCACCAGTGAGATCCAGAGGCTGGTGATCGCCGGCCAGGTGCTGAAGGAGTACCAGCCGTAGACCGCGTGGACATTTAACATCTCTCCAGATAAAGAAGCGCATTGTGGGTTTATAGATCGAAGACGACGATGCAGAAGTTCATGAGGAATTCAGACGATTTTAGGTTTGCAGTAACTCTCGTGTCTCAAAGGGAATTCAAGATCTTCAACACGGAGAACAACAACTTCAAACTTTGCAAGTACGTCGCTCCTCATAGCTGCAGAACTCGCCTGAGAATCTTCATGTTTTTAAGTTTTCTTAATGATCAAAGTAATCTAGTGATTGTGGTGCACACATGGATGTAGATAAAACTAATATAAGTTATTAATAGATAATTCTGCATACTTTTAATTTTGAGAATTTGCACATATTGGCTTAAAAGTCCCCGTCTGTCACTTTAAAGCAGTACTTCAATAATGTAGTTGTACTTCTGTAAAACTGAAGAGACAAATTCAACAAGATTCAAGAGTTAAAAGGTTTATTTGTCATCAATAAAACTCCATAAATCAGATTAGAAATCCTAGAAAAAGATGCTCCTCATAGCTGCAGAACTCTCCTGAGAATCTTCATGTTCTTTATTATCAAAGTAATCCTCTGATGGTAGTCTGTACATCTGTGTGTGCACTGCTACCAGGAGCTGATCAGAGATCATTCTGGATACTTTTAATGGAGACAATTTGCCAAAATGTGAATAAGAAGCTAAAAAACAAAGTTGTATCCGAGCCTTTTAAAATGAGTTCCTTTGAGAGCTTCTCACCAGCAGAGGGGGCCGGAGAGCCTTCAGGTCTCTGTGACCCACTTCTGATTCACACAGATCAAAACAGTCGTCTCTTAATAACGCTGCAGCGTGAGCACTTGTTCCACATTGACTCCAGATTTACTGATTCAATGATCAGGTTGTCGGTGCGAGTTTATTCTTGAGTGATTGTAGTCGATGACGTCTGTCGGCTGAACGTTGAAGACGGTTTCTGATGTTTGACTAAGAACACACGACGTCGTCTTTATTGGGGCTGAACTCACAGACGTCTTGTGCCTCAATAGCTTGTACATATCTTTATGTAATATATTGTGTGCAGATGATAATAAAAACAGAATTACAAGAAATCTTTTTTTTTTTATAAAGCAATATTACAGAGTAACTCCAGTTTATTTGTAATGAACCACAAAGTGAGGTTAGTGTTTTCTTTGGGTGTAACTCGGGTGTTCCTTTACTGCAGAAGCTAACGTGCTCCGTAGCATCTTCATCAGTTCATCGGACATAAAAATGATTCAAAATACTCACTTTGCTCTAAAGACGTATAGAAAGTCCCACACCTATTTATAGACTTAATAAACCAACTGTTCTAAATCTGATTTAATGAGAAAAACAAGGTTTTACCAGGATAATCTTAATTCATTCATCTTTGAACGAAAAGATGGATGTTTGTTTGTTGTTGTAATACTCCTGTTGGCCAATAGAGGCTGACATGCACCACTACACCATGTACCCTGCTTTATGGTCTGTGTGACTCTAAATGGACCATAATGTACTAAATGAACATCATGCTGTATTGAAGAAGACTTGAAACTAGAGATTGAGACCATAAACTCATGTTTACAATGTTTACTGAGGTAATAAATCAAGAGAGAAGTAGTCATTTTCTCATAGACTTCTATACAACCAGAGGAGTCGCCCCCTGGTGGACACTAGAGAGAATGCAGGTTTAACACATGAAGAACAGGAGGTTTTAGCTTTGATTTGACTTCATGAAATATTTTAATTGTGGTTAAAGTCAGACTTTTTAGAAGTTTTTGTTCATCTTTCTGTGAACAACCGCTTGTCTGTCTTTGTGTTTCCTGATTTAGTTTGTTGTTGTTCCACGTGAGGTCCTGATTGCTCCACTGGTCCAGATTCAGGCCAAGCTTCCTGAATCTGATTGGTCTGCTGGCTCCATTGTTCCATCGAGGTCGTGTGAACCAGAGTCCTGATTATTTTCTGGCTCTTTTGTTTGTCAAACAAAACAAAATACATTCAAAAAAACATAACATGAAACTCAAAATGACCTTGTTATGGAGCTGATATTCAGCTTTTAATGATGAATAATGAACATATTTATATTTCATATCGCATATAACAGCCTTTAAATAACAGACACGTAATGTTTTTTGTCTTTATTAGAAAACGTATCAAAAATGACGAAGTATAAAAACACTCAAATGCAAATCAGCTCTTTGATCCCAACATTGGTCTGTAAAGACCTGCTCACTGTGGGAACCAGTCTCTAGACCAGCACACTAGACCAGTACACTAGACCAATTCTCTAGACCACTGGGAGAACACAAAAAATATATTTACAATGAAGATCTGTAGCCAATCAGAGGCCGCGCGCACTGACTGAGCAACCTGCCAGATGAGAAATATTATTTTTTTAAAGCACACTAGTTAATGAACCAGTGAGACGTCACGTGCAGATTAAAACCCGTTAGCAGCTCCAATAAACAGCCACGTGCTCTGAATGAAGCTGAGCAGAAGTTTCCAAAAAACAAAAGTCCCAAATCTATAATAAGTTTATTTAAACGTAATGCTTCTTGTCGAACTCCCCGTTGGATGTGATAGTCTTGGTGGGCGCGTACTTGATCGGGTACGCGCCCCGCGCCCCCCGGGATAAGGAGCAGACCAGCAGCGTCCCGCCGAGCAGCAGCAGCGCGGTGGCGGCCCAGCCGATGTAGATCGCAGCCCCGATCTCGCGCTTCTTGGACGGCGGCACCTGCGGGTCGTGGAAGTCCACGATGATGTTGTTGGCCATCCAGCAGAGCGGCACGAGCACGAAGAGCCCGCTGACGATGTACAGGACACCCCCCACGTTCACCACGCGCACCTTCACCGTCTCCTCCCGGATGCAGTTGGTACATTGCGCGCCGGCCACCGTCACCGCGAGCGCCACGACACCGAGCACGGCGGAGATGACCGTGAGGGCGCGTGCCGTCTGCAAGTCCCCCGTTAGGGACAGAACCGAGTCGTGGACCTTGCACTGCATCTGGCCCGTGCTCTGCACCACGCAGGACATCCACAGGCCGTCCCAGATGGTCTGCGCCACCACGATGTTGGAGTCGATGAACGCGGTCACCTTCCACATGGGCAGCCCGCACGCGACCATCACCAGCAGGGAGCCCGCGAGGCACAGCGCGAGGCCGAGGAACTCCAGACACGCGGCGAGCATGGTCCTCCTGATAATGATGGTGATGAGGTCTTCTTCTCTGGTTGGTGATGCTCTGCGCGCGCTCAGCCTTGCCTCCGGTCAGTGAGAGCGTGCGCTCCGGGGCGTTCCATTTAAAGGGACTCCCGTCAAAATACAAACTTTTTGGGGGCCAATCAGCAGCTGAATTGCATGTTTGTCTCAGCCAATGAGGAGGCGAGGTCTGCAGGAGCAGCTGCAGCATCTGTGACACACACACACACACACTTTACGCGTGCACGTTTACTCACAGATGTGAGGGAGTATTCACCGGTCTGCACCAGCTGATGTGTGAGCCTTCTGGAAATCCAACTTCTTAACTTGACCCAACCCAGGGAGCAACTCTCCGTGGAAAAGATGTTTCACAAGTGAAAGTTAGTTCATCGTCTACATCGGGCAAATAATATGATGTCATCATGTTAAAGGGAAACGAAGAATCCACCTCCACATTTCTCAGTTGAAAAGCCAGTATTGAAAATCCTAAATATCTTCTAACAGTCGATGAAAACACCTTTAAATGCCTTATAAACAGATGATCGCAGTAAATATGCAGAAATATACGTATACGTCATATAACACATCTTCAGGTTATACTTTCCAGATTTCACCGGATTTGCGATCCTGAATACACAAAATTCGCCTCGTTAGCGTATTTGCGTGAGTTGAAATAGTTCAACTCGAGCGACAAATTCGTGTTAAGTGTCCACACTTATGCCGCTTTCAGATGGTCTGTCGTATTTAAGGTGAACATCTAAACAAGTATTACAATGAAAATATTTAACCAGTTTTTAACGTCTTCTCACCGTCACAATGCTCACTGGGATGTTACACAGTATAACACTGTTTGCACAGCAATGTTTTGACCCTCTTCTTCTTTACACATCGCTTTGTTTTACTCTTTCTGGTGTATTTTAGATGTTAAATGAACTAAAAACTCACTTTTATAATGTTGGGCTGCAGCGACTATAGAGACATAAAGTCAGACAAACCTCCGGTTCAGAAGAGTGAAGCCAAAGCTTCATGTGTTAAAGCTGCATTCTCTCTAGTGTCCACCAGGGGGCGACTCCTCTGGTTGCATAGAAGTCTATGAGAAAATGACTCTACTTCTCTCTTGATTTATTACCTCAGTAAACATTGTAAACATGAGTTTATGGTCTCAGTCTCTATTTCAAGTCTTCGTATCACTTCAGGAAGGAGACGACCCACCCGTCAGTTTCCTGTTTCCATGTCACCACATGCCCCGCCCCCTTTTTAAAAGATAAAGCGACCGGTCCATTAACTCCTGTGGGAGAAGTGAACATGAACTTCAGACCAGCACGGATTCTTCCCATCCACAGTCGCCAAAACTAAACTCAAGCTAATCTTCATAATGATAAATAAACCACGCCCACTTTTAGGCGTGGTGTGTGTGTGTGTGTGTGTGTGTGTGTGTGTGTGTGTGTGTGTGTGTGTGTGTGTGTGTGTGTGTGTGTGTGTGTGTGTGTGTGTGTGTGTGTGTGTGTGT